AAGTTCCATTTACAACTTAAGCCCAATTGTCAGTAGTCCGAAATTAAATGTTTTCAATAATTTAGGGCTTTCGGCGTCATGTTTTTGTTTGCCTGATAATTTGGGGCCAAGAAGAAGGTCAACAAAATCCATTAAAAAAAACCCAACAAACCTAAAAGAGCAGGCAAATTAAAGTGCAAAAAAGCCTTGCTAAGTCCAAGTCTAAATCTGTAGAAAACATCTCAATTATTTATGGCATAAATGCAGCACACAATTGTGCTTAAATTCTGGGGATTTTAAATACGTTTCGTTGCTCCGGCATATAAAATATAAAACCGACTTATTAAAATTCAAATAAAATGTGTGCCCAATGTGTAAACTGTGTGACAAATGCCTGAAATGCGAGATAAGGCTGCATTCAAATTGCATAATCTGCTGCCATTGTTGTGCGTCTTCGTGTTTTCCCAGTTTTCCGAGTTTCCCCAGTTTTTCCACAAAAGTTAATTGAGAAGTGTAGTTTAATTTCTGGCCAAACAAGTTGGCAGTGGCAAAGTGTTCGCAGAAGTTGGCAAATGAATTTCACTTATCGTAACTGGCAGTTGCTGATCAAATGGAATGCCGAGTGTGTTCTTGTGAAAAATGGGCAATAATGTGAATCTGGAAAAATAGCTGAAACGGAAAGAAGTTCAATAAATGTTTTTCATATTTGATTTTCCCGTGTTTTGTGTTTTCTGCATGGTGATAGTTGTTCTTTTTATTTTGCCCTGAAGTAGCTGATGTGTGTGTGTTTGGCAAATATTTTATTTGTTTGCAATACATGATCAACATTTTGGTTTTTAATTTGTCTACCCAAAAATAGAACTTTACGTTCGTTAAAAATAACACTAGTACTATGATCATTGTTGTAATTATTTATGCATATATGCAATAATTCTATCATTCATTTTTCATATGGAAAAGGATTATTATTACTCTCTTACAAATTTGTGGAAGTTTGTTTTATTTATTCCCTCAGTAATTGAAATTTATTATATGTATTAGAGATATTAATTAAATAAATTTTCCATTTTTTACCGCAATATTTTTAGATTACCAATTTGTTTACCTTACCTTTGTTAACCATGTTTTAGGTGATGATGATTGGTTCAAAAGTAAAATTTTTATTCCTTTTAATTGAACATTATATTATAATATTGTTATTATTATTATTATTTCTTTTAAGGTTAATAATGTAAATGAGGAATATTTTTTTTTATTTATTAATGCCCGTTCTGGTTAATATAGATTCTGTATATATAGTGTATAGTATAAACGTAAAAAGTTATTTATAGCTTACAAAGCTCCAAATTGTTTTGTCGTCTTAATTTCCTGGCTTGGCAATGGCTTCATTAGCTTCGATCTATTAACTTGGGCCCATATGCAAACATGTGGGAGCTGGGGGAAATTTTCAATTACGTCCGTGACATGACATAAAACGTAAATTAAGGCAGGGACGTCTGCAGGGCCGGTCAACAGGGGCGGCGGGCTGAGGGGGGCTGTAACGCTTGATTTGCTCTGACATAAGTGGAGGTCCTGTTTTCGGAGTTGGAGTTGGAGTTGGAACTGGCCGCCTTATTGTTACGCCTACAACGAAGCCATTCCGGCATTCCTGGCATTCAACATTCGCCATTTGCTGCTCGAGGTTTTGGCCATGTGTGTGTTGGCCAACAGCGACGAGTGCATGTTAAGTGCCTTATTATCCTGTTTATGTAACCGTGCAGTTTTGTTTTTGGTCCGGCCGAAAGAGCGGTCACATGTCCCGCTGCCGTTTTTCCCATTTTCCCCCTGTTGTTTTCCATTTTCATGTTTTATTCAGGCCTAGTTTACAAATTGTCGCAACGGCTCTGTGGAACGTGGCCAGCACGAAATGAATATTTTGAATACAAATAACTTAAAGCGGACTCGGACTCGAACTCGGACTTGGACTCCGGGCCAAATTGCTCAATTCGCCAGAACTTGTTGCCATGTTTTTCCGGCCAAGAGTGGACTTTTCGAGTAAATAATTCCACAGGCAGCCCCGAATAGTTTCAAGTTCACTTTCGGCTCGTGGAGAAACTTCAAGCTTCAACCAGAATTGCGGTTTCCGTAAATTTGTGTTTCTGTTTTTTCGGCCTTAATTAAAGTGTCTGCATTTTACACATTCAGGGGAAGTGAACAAGTTAAGCGCATGCTAATAACCGACATTTAAAATGTACTCGGAAACTTGTCCGGAAAATATACTTTTTTGTCAAACCATTTATTTTTGTAAAAAAATTTTCAAAAATTAAAGTTTTCAGGTTTGAATGCCAAGATCTAAGCTAACGGTCCCCATCACTTTCGGAAAAATAACTTTTTGACAAAATTTCACATTTTTTATAAGGGGTCGTCTTTTTTTGCGAAAATCGGTCAAAAATTAAAGTTTTCGGGTTTGAATGCCAATCGATTGGGAATTTAATTACGAGCTCAACGAGGTATGGCATTCCTTATTCTGGTTCCATTTCGCAATTTGTCGACGAAAAAACTGATCTTTTTTGGGCAAAAATAGGGACTAGCATTTTTTTGACGAAAAATACGTTATTTTTAAGCAGTTTTTCAGTTGTAATTTAGTGAAATCTAGGCGCACAACAAAAAGACCGACTGTTTTGAGCAGCTTACAATCTAGGCTAACGATCCCTATCACTTTTAGGGAAATTTATTTTTGGACCCATTTTCCCATTTTTTATAAGGGGTTACATCATCCATTTTTGCGAAAAGTGGCGAAAAATAAAGTTTTTAGATTTAAATGCGAATCGATTGGGAATTTAATTACGAGCTCAACGAGGTATGGCATTCCTTATTCTGGCTCCATTCGCAATTTGTCGACGAAAAAACTGATCTTTTTTGGGCAAAAATAGGGGGTAGCATTTTTTTGACGAAAAATACGTTATTTTTAAGCAGTTTTTCAGTTGTAATTTAGTGAAATCTAGGCGCACAACAAAAAGACCGACTGTTTTGAGCAGCTTACAATCTAGGCTAACGATCCTTATCACTTTTAGGGAAATTTATTTTTGGACCCATTTTCGCATTTTTTATAAGGGGTTACATCATTAAATTTTTGCGAAAAGTGGCCAAAAATTAAAGTTTTTAGGTTTAAGTGCCAATCGATTGGGAATTTAATTACGAGCTCAACGAGGTATGACATTCCTTATTCTAGCTCCATTTCGCAATTTGTCGACGAAAAAACTGATAGTTTTTGGGAAAAAATATGGATTAGCATTTTTTGGAAGAAAACTACGTTTATGTTAAGCCGTTTTTCAGACTTAATTTATTTAAATCGAGGCGCACAACAAAAATGCCGACTGTTTCGAGCAGCTAACAATCAAGGCTAACGATCCCTATCACTTTTTTGGACATTCATTTTTTGACCAATTTCACATTTTTTACAAGGGGTTTTACTTTTATGTCAAACGGAGTTGAACAATTTTAAATTTGTTTAATAAATGAAGAAATCAAGTAGCTCAAGTAATGTTTTAGAACATACACAAATACATTTTCTAAGTCTGCTAGTAGCTTAAGAAATGATTTAGTACTTATTGTTCTCCTGGCCAGTTACGAATTTGCATAAAATCGGATTGGGAATCTCAGGAACTTCTTTTGTAATTCCGCAATCTCCTTGGAAAATCCTGGTTTCCTTTTGCGGAATCGTTGATCGATTGAAGTCCGCACCTTTTCCCACTTCGATTAGCAGCTGCTGTAAAGTTTTCCATGACCAACTTTCTAGGGTCGTACTTCCCGAACTCCCCCCGACATTCCCGTACCTTCCGCCACCCGGTTCGGGTGTATTTATCATGATTCAGATCCGGACGTAGCGGAACTCCAGAGGAGTAGGGATAGTACGGCCATTGCCTTCGCGTTTCCCCACTTTTCCCCACTCTCTCGAGCACTTTAGTGCAGGCTAATTACAAAAAGTGAAAACACAATTCATTTTGCTTGTGGTTTATGCGTTTTCTTTGCCGCCCCGCCCACTTTTCCGCATATTCCGCCCATTTTCCGCCCGTCGCCGCCTTGCAGCGTTATAAAAATGTTTATGGCTGACGTTTGTTGCCATAAAAATGCGAAGTTGTCGGGGCTACCGTTGCGAATGCGATTACTTGACGACCAGAAAGGTCACTCAGCCGTGGCCATTGTTGTTGTTGTTTCGCCGTGTCCTTGCTGCCGAACACCGCCCACTCCGCCCATCGACCACCCACCCACGTGTGTGTGTGTGTGTGCTGTATTTATGGCATTGTGTTTGTTAATAACATTTGCAGCAAGTGCATTCCATCTCTGACGTAATGCCCCCGAAGGGCCGAACCCCCAGTCCCCCTTACAAACTATACCCTACACCATTTATGGCCAATACAAGTGCTGCCGCATACCCTTTACAAAGTGGGGGATATATATGGTATCTCAAATACAATCCACAATCTATAGATATAAAAAAAAATTGCTTAGAGCAACAAAACCATTATACATAAACTCTTAAAAAGAAGGATATATTATTTAAAATTCTTTTTATTTTTTATATGTTTAAAAAGTGTATAAAATAACATTTATTTAATAAAGTATGAAATTAAGTAAATTTAAAATTTATTTTTCAGAATTTAAATTGTTTTATCCTTTTTTTTTTACCTAAGAAACGATACATTAAAATATTTATTGTAGGTTAGTGGTCAGCCCTGAAATTGGTTAATTTGAGTGTTGGTAAACGCTTTATAAGGCATTTGGAGGACTTAAAAATACTGTTTTCTTAAATCCATTTTTAGAATACGAAGTCTGGATTTAGTTTACCATTTTGTATTGCTGCTTACTTTTTTGAGTGCTGATTTTTTCCATCCCTTCTGTTGCAGGGTACTTCCTGCGTTTGGACACCCCTCGAAAATCGTGGTGGCCATGTTGTCCTAATTAATTTAAGTCCCCCTCCCCGCCGCCGCAATCTATGCACCGCTCACTCATTTTCCACCGCTCTTCTGGTTTCTTTGCAGTACTTGGCCGTGCAATTACGCAGAATGCCGTTTGCCTTTTAAGTTGCATATTGTTCGGCGATCAGGAGGAGGAGGCGGAGGAGGTGGAGGACTTTCCCGCGGACTGGGAAAGCGGAAAAGCGCGGAAAAACGGACGTTAAGGTGAAGTGAAGGAGTAGGAGGAGGAGGAGGAGAAGTGCCACTGACAGTGGCAGTAAGTTACGGGCCAAGTTTCGCCGGAGTCGCCTTGTCGCTGGCGCAACTGGCATAACTCAGAGCTGATGAAATATGGAGCTGCTGCAGGCCCTCTGCTGTACGCTGCTCCTGCTTTTGGCCCGGATGCAAGGTGAGTCCTGGAGAGGTCCTGCAGTCCTGCAGTCCTGACGGGGTCCCGAAGTCCTGGGGAGTCCCTCCATGTCACTGGGAGCCCCGCCATTTGGTTAATATTTGCCCGCTGTCAGCGCATCCGCTTTGATCTAGTCAAAAATTGAATAATTCCTACTCGTCACTATACTCAGAGCCCCCCCACCCCACAACTGCCACGCCCCTCCAACTGGCACGCCCCTTTGGGGTCAGTGTCAACCGTGTCAACGATATGCGATATGCAAATTTTCCACATCAACCTGACACGAGCTTGCATAACTTGCAACACTGCAAGTTGGGCAAACAACAAGTAGAACAACATGAACATGAGCAGCAGCATTAGCACTGGGAAAAAAAAGTATACAGTATGGTGGATTTTTTGTAAAGATTCAGCCTAATTCATGTTTCAATACAGTATGTTTTTTCAACGGGAAGTTATATTTAAAGCTCTTCTTCCTCTCTATTTTAAGGGGAAAATACTAGTTTTATATACTCTTATAACTAAAATTTTTATAAATTATTGGCTATAAAGTAAGACCTTTTATTTCTCCACAAAAAACAACAAAGTATTTTCGCAAAAATTTTGCGAAATTAAGCCGGAATAAGGAATACCATACCTTGTTGAACTCGTTATTAAATTCTCAATCGATTGAAGTTCAAACCTGAAATCCTTAATTTTTGACCAATTTTCGTATTTTTATCAGGGATTTTTCATGTTTTTTTTTTCCAAAAATTGGTCAAAAATAAATGTCTTCAGATTTGAATGCCAATCGATTGGGAATTAATTTACGAGTTCAACGAGGTATGGCATTCCTTATTAAGACTTTGTTTCGCAATATAATTGCCTTTTTAGTATACAAAAATTTTGAATCATATAAATTCCAAAGTGCTTAATATTGATTAAGCCCAAGTCAAGCACCATTTATTTCTTTTGGCATAGTCTTTTAGATCTGTAAGTTTTTCCTGCAGTGCAGCAGCTTGCAGTCACGTCCTCCGATAAGCTTCCTGTGCACTTGAGGTTAGTTTCTGGGGCCTTCTGCCCGCCGCCTTATCAATGCCACAGATCTGTCATCGTAAATTCAACATTAATTGCGGAGCGAAGCGCCCCTTGGCACAGATAATGAGCAACAGAATAAATAAATAAATTGCAGCTAAAAGGGGGCAAGCCGGGCCTCAAATTACCAGAAACGGATGCAAGTGGCCAAAAAGTTTGCACATTAATCGAGGCTACTTAGGCCAAGTTGGCGGAGTCTTGGGGTTGGGGGCATCTTCATTTGCATTGCGATTGGCCAAAGCCAATGAAACTCAAATCGATAGATGCAAATGCGTAAAAGTTTTTGGTGCGGCAATTCCATTTGGAAATTTGATTGAATTTTAAATCAAATGGCTGGGTGGCAAGTTAAATATTAGACTTGAAAGTTTAAAAATATTTAAATAAATTGAATTAGGCATAAAATAACCTTCAGCTTGTGAAATAAATATCCTTCTCTGTCGGTTCAAAGGTGATTTAAACTTTGACCCCGCGGCTATGACCTACAGACTTGAAGCAACCGGCACTCATAAAAGTTGCAACTGCTAAATATTTACTTCCCGAGGCCGCTATAACTATAAAACGACTTTAAGGCCCGCCACAGACATATACCATATACTATATGCCATAGATGAGCTGCATTTCATGCTGGTGCGGATGTATATAGACAAATATATAGCCGGCGGCCTCACGGAAATTCAGCACAAAAACTAGGATGGCCCAAAAAAAATATAAAACTATATATATGGTATATAGGAAAAACGAAAATATCACGAAGATGAGGAAGACGAAAAAAATGCAAAAGGCAGCAGGGAAAAAGAAATGTTCATGCAATAAATTCACGTTGAAATTTTGCAATAGTTGCGTCTGCGAGTTGCAGCAGTAAACGCTCGAGGAGAAGAAGCGGCATGGACGGCTCGAAGAAATAAAAGGGGGCGGTGGATGGGGGGCCAGAGCCACCCCCTAAAAAAAGAAGAAGCCAACCATCCAACCATCCCACTTTGAGTTGAGTGGTTCCTGCTGCTGCTTAATTTTGCAGCACCTCCTGTGCTTAAGTAAACTTTTCCATGGGTGTGGGTGAGAGGGGGCTGGATTTGGCCGAAAGGGGTGGTGGCAAGTGGGCGGTGTCGGGTGGCCAGCGATAAGCAGGCCGCTCTTTGCACAATTTTTGTTTGCCCCATTCGATTAAACTAAACATAAATTTCATGGACGATAAATCAGCCGTGAGCGTTGGGACAGTTGCACCTGCACCTGCACCTGCAGCTGCAGCCTCCCCCGCCCCTGGGCCAAAGGGGGGGCCTTTTCTGCCCCCCACCCCCTTTGGACACGTGTGGGAAATCAAAAGAGTGCCAGCCATGGAACGTTGGGAGGCATCCTCTCAAGGCTCAATAAATTAATTCGCCCGCAGCGAAATGCATTAAATAAATACCCTTCATTGGGCAATTTACAGTGATCAGCGACCCCCCTTTTCCACGCCCCTGCTTGCCTCGTCCAAAAATCAAATGGCCACGCGAAATTGAAAGAACAATTTCTGAAATGATTTTCGGCTGGGTCGCAGCTGCCGTTGGCGGTTCGTGTCGGAAATAAACAAAATTCCAAAGTGGCAGGCGAAAGTTGAATGCCCCACAGTGCGTTACGGCAGTGTAAGGCGATTTCCAGACTCTGGGGTACATGGTAAACACTTAGGGTACAAATAATTGTCAAGCCAAATGAACTTATTTTGAAATATTAAATTATCAGTTACGAATCTTTTTGCAACTCAACCTTACTTTTGAGTTAGTTTATAGACCTTACAAAAATATTTGTAATATTATATTATGACATCTCATTTTTTAAGTACCTTTATACCAATCTTTATAGTTTTTACCTTTGGTTTTGTAGTAAGCATATAGAGCTATGGAATATTTTTTAAAGAAATATACCATTTTATTTTGTTACTATTTATTTAGCAATCTTTCTCCTTTTTTATCTTTACTTTTGACTTAATCTATTTTAAATATATTATAACATTTTTTTAGCCTTGAATCTTTACATTTTAAAGCTTATTTTCCAATTAAAAGTTAAAAAATTGTTTGTTGTCTATTTTCAGGGAAAAGCACTTTAACAACCAACTTAATATCAACCCAAGAATAATTTGTCTATCAATTTCCTCTAGCATTTTTGCGTTTTATACTTTAGAGAAGATTTTTAAATATATTAGCTCATGTTCTCATGTTAAGGGGTTCATGAGGCTATTTTTGGATGCAGAGTGTTTCGATATAGCATAGGAAGTTATGACTTTTTGCCATCGTTGCTTAGTGTAGCTAAGCTTAACTCTTTGCCACTGAACCATAAATATACACAGGAAAAAAGAAGTAGTGTCTTTTAGAGCAGCTTACCTGCTTATGTTTGGCCTTTTCTGTAGATACTTTTTTGGGGGGGCTGGCCCACGAGTCGGCTACGTAATGTGGCACGTAGCTAGCAGGGGAATGGATCTTCGGTCATCGAAAAGGAGGGAGATGGTATGGGGGTTCCAAAGTTTGTTAGCTCCTGTGCAATGGCCATAACAACAACAACAACATAGCTCCCCTGTATGTCTGTCTGTGTGTGGGTTTGTGTCTCTGCGAGTGTGTGTGTTAATGCTAAATTAAGTTGCTGCACGTCGTAGCATATAGGGTGTATGTATGTACGTATGGTTTTCCGGGGAAAATGGGAAAATCGGTAGGTGGCTCTCTGGCTTGTATGCTCGACCGCCGGCAGGCTGTAATCCCAAAAACATTAAACTGGCCGCGTCAGGACATTGATTTTCGCTTTTGGCCAATATTTAGCCAGCTCTGCGTCTTATCTGTGCATGGTACACCTCCTACACATATACACATCCACAGATATATGTAGTATATATGCGAGTGCTGCTGCTTCCTTGCCATCTCCATTCTGATTTTGTGCAAATGAAAATTCAATTTGAAATGGAAATTATGCTTTTTCTCCACTTATTTTTGCATTGTTGTTGCTGCTTGTTTGTTTGTTATTCTCTCCCACTCACTGGTTTTTGTTTTTGGCCCATGTTTTTTACTTTGGATTTTCCTGCTCTGTGTGTGTGTATGTTGCATTTGAAAATCGTTTCGATTTGGCGTTTGAGTGAGTGTGCGAGTTGGACAGACTTCAAAAAATCAGATGGAAATATGATTGCAAGCTGATGTACACAGTGGGAAAACTATATTATATTAAAGATCATATTTTGATTGATATCTTGATTTTTGTGAAAAATTTGAAGCCTTTTCAGTGCTAAATCAGTGAATTAATGTTGAGCTTTTCAAATAACATATAAATGCTCCAAAAAAGTATGCTACACTTTTCGTTAATGTCAGAACTACTCTACTTAAATGTTTTATGGCACATTTTAAGGTTTTTCCTCATAAAGGAGAAATATGCAAATGGAAAACTAAGAAATTTCATAAAATAATTTGTTTTGTTCCTTAAAAAGTCTTTTCACGTACGTATACGTCATTTTTTGTTTAAGAAAATGTTTTAATTACGTATACGTAATGTCTTTGTTTTAGGGAAATCTTTTTGTGTTTAATTAGCAATCATTATAATGAAATAAGCTTATAGTTTCTTCAAAGAAATCATTTCAAATAACGTATACTTAATGTATTGGTGCTAATGAAATCAGTTTTTGGTTAGATCACGTATACGCAGTGTTTGACTATTGAACAATATAATATTTTCTCATTGTGTTGCCTCATGCCTTTTCTTTTTTTCTCCAAAAATGTGCTGCTGCAGTTGTCTCAATGTGGCACCAATTGAATTGCTGGCCAAACAATGTCCTGAAATCTGTCCTCTTCACTGTGCAAATTGTTTATTTATTGAGTTAATCAGGGAGCAAAGGGGGGAGGGGGTGAAGGTTGAGAGGGTGGGTGGGTGACTCCTCATGCATGACCAATAATCCTTCGAATGGAGACATAAAACAATGG